ATCCACCTGCTCATGCTACAGACTCTTGATGAGTCTATTCTCTTCTTGCTTTAAGTTTTATTCAGAAAAATGAGCTTGTTTAGACTCCAGCCTTTGGCTGGAAGTATGCTATACTAAATCTTACCGTCTTTGCATGCACGTTTTGCTGTTTACCTTTCACATTATGCTTTAGTGATTTGATCAGTTTCCTCTTTTTCCGCCATGTCAACCCGCAATACGCCCAGCGAATTTCTTGACTTGCTGGAACTAATCTCATTCGCATCCAGCGCTCTCTTTATACCATTTCTGTTAATACAAATCAGCTTGCGAAAAAGTTTCTTTTGCTGTTGATTACCTTCATTCTTGTAGGGCCAACGTAAAGATTGGAGGCCTGAAGTTGTCCAGATTCACGACATCCAGAACCTCGTCCTCTACCATTTCCAGTGCGACGATTGGCTCAGTCCAACGCTAGGATTCAGGAAAATGTTGCATCTGGATCTTCCAGCTATTATAGATGGAGTTCCACAGCTTTCCTGTAAGAATTATTGCTTTTTATTTTTCAAGAATCGCATAAATTGACTTTTGGCATTAAATTCATTAGCGAAATCTGTTTAATGTGTTGTCGTATTGCTCATTCCAGACAAGGCCTACAAGATTTATGTGCAAACTTCCAACGTTCTTGGAGCAGGGACAGATGCTGCTGTGTATATTCGCTTGTTTGGAGAGTATGGAGATTCTGGAGATCTCCATCTGGCCAAGTCGAGTACGCACAAGGATCCTTTTGAGACGAATCATGTGAGAAAAGTTTTTCGAATTTCAGGTTTATCATTCAGGATATTCACGATGCTTAGCCATTTAATAGTGAATTGACAAATCGTTGTTAACTTGGCCTTCATTTCAAGTGAAGGTGTGTGATGAAGAGATTTTTGAACGATCTCATAATAAGACGACAGTTGTCGTTTATTGTTGTTGGGACTTTCGGATTGATGCTGTCTTCGAGACGCCTTCCTTCGGTTGACGTGACAACGTACCAACTGTTCATTTATCGTATAGCAGCTAAGGACGCATTTTTACGTCAATCTGAAACTGCTTCAATTTTAAGAAAATTCACTGACTAAAATTTTCTTATTTTTCGAATAAAGTATTGTTTTCGTGACTAACAGTATATCAGTAATATAAGATGTGTTCACCCAATTTCGTTTAAGGTGATGAAGGACGAATAGTTGAATTTTCCCACACTCCTTTGAGTAGAACTGGCGTTTCCATTGAATTTCACATGGCCTTGCTTTCCCAAAAG